ATCGATCAACTCTATCATCCTCGTCATGGCTTTTGCTTCATTGATCTACTAAACTTTGTCACCATTGATCGCCATCGCCTTTCCATCACTGCTCTGCTCTATGGCCATTAAGGTTTCTATGAGACGGAGATCGAATAAGCAATAGGGTTTGTGGAAGAAATCAAAGATTGGGTTTGTGGGTAAGAAAGTGTGGGGACATAATTTTTGGATGACAACACGTGGCCGAGGTGACGCCGGAGTGTCAGCCTAGGTGCCACGTGTCCTGGTCATGACGCCGAGGTTATCTCGTCTAGGCCGAGGTTATCTTCGAAAATACCAGAATCCGGGATAAGCGGATAAGGGACAAGAGTCCTAGAATGAGAGAGAACTACAGTTTGGGTAAAGATAAGACTCCTAGAGAGTTTATCCCAATCCTACTGGGAGTCCAAGATTAGCAGTAATCCTAAGTCCATTGAAGCTAGGCTTCTATTGGGATTAGGTAAGTGATGGCTATAAAAGGGAGGCGCCCTCATGGGTCTATGTTTTTATAATCTGAATAGTGAATTAAGCACTTTTGTTATCTTTGAGAGATAACTGACTTGATCATCGGAGTGCCCCCGGGTAGACGAACCACCCCAGAATCTCTTCTTTCTGTTGCAGGATGTTCAGGCTTAATCTATTCTGCCAGTGTTCTCTAGCTGAGTACTAGACTAGCAGTGTGGTCAGAAATTAACACACACAATTTGGCGTCGTCTATGGGAAAGAAAGGACAATAGATGGCCAACGACAGACAAAAGGAGAAGATTGGGAATGATATCCCTACTGGGAGTACTAAAAAAGTTGACCCTAACATGGAGGAAGATGGTTGCAACGAGGAGACTCAGGACCAGAATCACGGAAAGAAAGACGTTAGCCAGCAGGGCGACGTACCAAAGAAATCGGACCGAAGCGGGTATTACAATGAGGATGACCTCCAGGTATGGAAAGATAGATGCCTGCGAAGGGATGAAGAAATGAAGGGGATGGCGAACAAATTGGCAGACCTGCAAACGGTCATCAATTTCATGATGCAAAACAATGTCATGCAGCCACCGTTCCCGCTGCAAGACACACCGATTCCAGCGGCCAAGAACAATGCCCAGAAGGGAGGGCAAAAAACAGTCCTTGTAGCCCCCCAGCACACCAGAACCAAGGAGCACTCTCACCAGCCTTCAAGGGAGGTCGGGCGAGGAGAGTCAATGAAGGGAGAGTCACGGAGGACACATCGGACCAAAGAAGCTAACCCTAAAGAACATCGGCATGTTCAGGGGAAGGAACTCTGTTTCGACGCAACTAACGGAGAGAAGTCCAAGAGGACTCACAATGACACCAGAAGCAGCGCGCCGAAAAGGCTGAAATCCGGAGATAATCGAGCTCTTGGACAGACAAAGGAGGATCTGAGGGACCTCTAGAGGAAGCAACAAAATACCGAGGTAACCTCTCCAGTCAAGTTGAGAATGCTGTTTTCGGTAGAGTTGGACAAATTTGAAGCTCCGAAAAGGTTTAACATACTGAGATTCCAGATATACGACGGTAAGTCGGACCCCAACTTTCACATCGGCTTGTACCTGAACTCAATGGCACTATACACCGGGAACAAGCCGTTGCTCTGCAAGGTGTTCCCTTCATCCTTCGCGGAAATTGCATCGGACTGGTTTCACAAGTTGTTGAAAGGAACTGTGAAAACCTGAGAAGGCCTAGCCGAGATGTTTGTGGCTAGGTTTGTGACAAACAAGCTACAGCCATTAAGGGTGGACTCCCTGATGGCTCTGAGAATCAGTGAGGATAAAAGCCTAAGGGCCTATGCCAAAAGGTACTATGAGGTATTCAACCAGATACTAAAATGCAACCAAGAGGTGGCGGTCGTGTCTTTTAAGAACGGCCTAAAATATGATTGTCTGCTTCGAAAATCATTGGCAAAAACATTGCCAAAGAGTATGGAAGAATTAATGGCCAGAATAGAGAAGTATGCCAGGGCCGAGGAAGACACTCCGAGGACAAAGGCGTCAGAACAAGAGAAGGGAAACAGCTCGCTGAAGCAAAGCCGAGGTAATGGCGGGAACAACAAGCAAGAGACTGGATTAAGGGCTCGCAGGCAGTCACAACTGTATTTCGAATCCCAATTTACAAAGTCCTGGAGAAAATCCGAAATTAGCCCTATTAGAGCATCTCCAGCAGCTTGGGTATTCTTACCTTTTAGCTATAGAAGCAAGCTTGGAAGGGTAAAACATTGCTCCAGCAGACTCGCTCAATGATCGTTAGAATGGTGGTGAGCTACAGTACCTCGCCAGGACAAGCGAGGTACTGTTCATGAGCCTTTGAATTTTTTATTTATTTTTGCCTCCTGAATTCGGTTTTTGGCAGTAAAATTTTTCCCTCTTTTTGGTGCTAAAATTCTGTCAGTACCTCCCCAAACAAATCTATAGAGAAGGCATTCCAAAACCCAAACTCTCTTATCCTTTCTATCTTTTTCTCAACCTTTCTGCTCAAGGGAGGTAAAGTTTTGTCATTTACGTTTGTTTATGCCATGAATAGTGGATAAGAAATTGGAGAATATGAAAGCAAATGTTCAGATTATTGTATTCTTATTTCATTATTTGTTGATTTTGGCAAAAATATTACACATTGCTTTGTCATTTGTTCAGATTATGTGAATATATATTTTCTCCTTTGCTTTGTGGCTTCCATGGTTTTTAATCTCATCTCAGAAATTGTTGTAACAAGTTATGTCTCCATGTTTTTAATCAATAGGTCATTATTTTACTACCTGTAAAAGAGAAACTAGTATGTATTTATATTGCACACCATATGTTTGTTGTAATTTCTGTTAGAATAAAGATTGTAGATTGTATCCAATTATTTCTTGTATTAGTTTTTCTATCATATTTGACAAGAATATTCATTAATATCCAATTTACACATGCTGTTCAAGGACATCATCTTCAGAAATTGATTCAGAAATTGAAGTCTCCTCAAGGACATCATCTTCACACATGCTGTTCAATAATGTGCACTCTTGAACAACATATCCCTTCACAACACACATAAAGAAAACAAACACAAATAAATTTCCATATGGGGTGGGTTTTGTGGGATTGGTAAAATCAATTTTGTTAGTTCATGAATTACAATTTTGTTAGACCATAAAGCATCTCAGCTGCTGATTCAACTAATTCATTCTGTTCCTCTGTAAACATATCACCTACACCAGTCCAGCTAATCAAATTTCATTGAAAGGATTCAACTACAGAATGAATGATTAAAGACTATATACAGTAGTACTTTAAGTTCAAAGAAGATGCATCAAAATGTGTCAAAGAGATTGGATGCCTGGAAACATCAAATCTGAGAAAAGCAGCCAGGGAACGACATATTTTTAAACCTTAGGTATAGCCCCATCAATGTATTAAAAAAGCCTTTAACCAAACATCCATGAGCTTTCATGGTCTCTTTTAAGAATAGGAAGTTAACAAACCCTATTTCTAGAGTTTCAATAAATTGCCAGGGCATTTTAACAAGGGAAAAAGGCCACTTGATGAGGGTATTTCTCTATTTTAAATTTCATTGAAATGGCACACCCTTAATTTGAAGCATTTATAAAGCCTCAACTCCTCAAACATAATTCTGTTGCCATCACTCAATGAACTTTGTCGAAGTCTAGTAAAAGATTCTTTTACTTTTTAACAGTTCCTTGCACATTTGAAGCCCCCTGTTGAAACCTTTGTATGTCAAATTAACTTAATGCAGTTATGTGTATAAAACAACATGCAAAATTAATCATTATTTAACGTTTTCTGGATAATATGTGATAATGTAAGAGGGAGGTTATGCACCCTAAAAAGGGTGAAAAGATTTCAATCCCATTTGGGTGGTTACAACAGAAGTGGCACCTGCCTAAAGACATCTTTCCCGCTGTCTAGCTTTGTGTTTCATGTTTGTTATGACTTTCTTTTGTTTTTTCATGTCACTGTGTTGTGGTGTAGCTTGGCCTAATGGCTTTGATCTGTTTGATTAATGAAATAGTTGTGTTAGTGGCAGATGGCCTAAATCTGGACCTGCTTTAGATTGTCCCTATCCCTTTTGCCTGGAACAAAATATTGAGCGCAAATTTTTGTCCCCCCCCCCTTCCCCACACACACAACCAAAAAAAAAAAGAAAAGCTTAAAACATGATCATAACACTAAGGAGCGTACACTGTTCTACAGAACCATCAACTGCATTAGCCTGATCATTCTTGAATATGCCATTTTGTCCCATCAGAAGAGTGGCACTTGGTGAATGTGCCAAAGCCTCCTCAAGTGCAACCTTTCACTCATATAAATCCTCCAAATAAATCCATGTCACATTGTTATTCTTACAAGTGATTTAAATTCCTTCAATTGAGTTGTTGTTTCATGTTATAATTCTTCATAAGAACTCTGAGCATGTTTTGTGATAATTCACCAGTTAGAAATGCTTATGTCCATTTTGTAATGGCTTTGGGTAATGCTTGAAATCATGCTTATGTATTTTTTATACCTCTTCATTTCTAAACACTTCTTCATTTTGAATTTTTTCTTTTTTATGTGTTTGAAATTAGATTTTTCTACTGTAATTTTATTGTACAGTAGCTTGGATATTAAATTTTAATTCTTATATATTATTCAATCATAGGTGTGGATTCACAACAAGATGGTTACTTTACCAATCTTTTACAAGAAAGGCCCAACATTGATGAACATTATCTAATGGAATCTCAATATTTGAATCAAAGCACTCAAGTCTTCGCCTAAGAGTCTTAATTTACTGTTGAAATTGAATCTTTGTCGAAGAAACCTCAACGTGGAGGAAACTTCACAATTGAAGAAGACAAACTCCTTGTATCGGCTTGGCTTAATATTAGTTTAGATGCGGTACATGGGAATGAGCAAAAATGCTCTACCTATTGGAAAAGAGTGTGGGATTTTTTCCATGAGCACAAGAAATTTGAGTCAAATGAGAATTCTCTTATGAATCGATGGTCAACCATTCAGCTTGCCATGAATAAGTTTTGTGGGTGCTATGCCCAAATTGAATCATTGCATCAAAGTGGCATAAATGAGGATGACAAGGTATTGAATATTGTACATTTACAATTATTATTATTTGTGAAGTTGCTAAATATTATTTATTTATTTAACTTTCAGATTTGCAAGGCGAAAATTATGTACAAGGAACTCAAGAAATCTACATTCCAATTCGAACATTGTTGGATTATGTTAAGGGATCAACCAAAGTGGGTGGTGGAGTCTGAGAAGAAAAAACAACCAAAAAGACCAAGAACAGGGACAACCTCTTCTCCTTGTACTCTGAATTCGATAAATCTAGGGGAAGACGATGTCTCACCTAATGATTTTGTAGACTTGGAGAGACCAACCAGTAGGAAGGCTTAAAAGGAGCGATTGAATAAATGAAAGAACAAAGAAAGCGTACATTCGAGTATTACAAAAACTTTGGAGGACATCAAGCAAGACAAAAAGAAAATGATTGACAAGAAAATTGAAATGATTGACAAAGTGTACGTTCAAAAAGAAGTGGAACTTCGTATGATGCAAGAAAAGCATGAGGTGGAACTTCAAAAGCATGAAATGGAACTTTTCAAAGAGGATGAAAGAGTTATTTTGATGGATCTCAGTGGCTTGCCGAAAATCCAACAAGAATTTTATCGTGCTCGGCAGATGGAAATCATTAAGAAAAGAAGAATGAATTAGTATTCGTTCTTTCTTTGCTCTTTATGATATTTTGGGTTTTGTCTAGTACGCTAGAAACTTGATATATGATATTTTGGTTTTTCCTTTTGGTTCTACTTTTGTCTAGGATAGATGTTGAACTCAGCAATGTTTTGGTGCACAATGTTAGTTGTCTAATCTGTTTTGATGGCATTTTTGGGTTGTTTTGTTGCTGTTTAATGTAAGTACTAATATTTACTTGTTCTTAGATTTTGAATCCAAAAATAGGTTGTGGTTGAGACGGGGTAACAGCTATACTAATTGATTAATAATTCTGATGAAGAGTTTTATGATGATCTCTACATTTTGAATGCTAGTAAGTTTATGGATTAGTCAAAGAGCCACTCATCGAAAATCACCGAAGCTGAATTATTTTGTCACTGTTTGGGGCAAGTTTTTATTTTTATTTTTATTTTTTGATTAGTAATTACAAGCTTATAATGCTACATTTATATAAGGCATCAGTGTGGGATTTCTCTTTTTGAATGAGTTTTATTTATATAAAGCTTCTCTTTTCAAATGAGTTTTATTTATATAAAGCTCAGTGGTTAGCTAAAGCATGGGTTTTATTGTTCATAATTTTACAAGGGCTGTAGATTTGTTAATATTTTTTAAAATATACATTGTCATGTAAATTTCCCTTATAACTTTCTTGTTGAAAAAACTATCCATAATAGTGTCTCTGTTTTAATAGATACCCTTGTGTGGAGCAAGCTGTTCAAAGGAATTTTTTGAGTGTGGAGCAAGCTGTTCAAAGGAATTTTTTTGAGTACCAAGTTTTACTAATGAGGTTTTAATGTTAATATTTAATATTTTAATATATTAAAATTCTAAGAAATCATAATTTTACTACAAATATTGATATGTGATTTAGATTTAATGTTATATAATAATGAATCTCAATCATTCAATATTTTTTTTTTTAAAGATAAAATTTGAAAAAACATGACTGTTGTAAAAATTTGAAAAAATATGACCGTTGTAAAAATATGACCGTTACAAAAATATGACTATTGAAAAAATATGACCATTTGAAAAATAAGACAGTAAAAAAATGTAACTTTCACAAAAATATAATTATATTTAGAAGAATGAAAAAAATAATAATTTGAAAGAAGTTAGTTTTTTTTTTTTTTAAGATTGGAAAGAAGGTAGATAAAGTATAAGAATATTTTAATAGAAGATAGCTAAAGTAGATAGCCTTGTTGGAATGTATATTAAAAAAATGACTAGCTAAAATAGTAACGTAAAATTTTGAATAGCTATTTTAACTATCCTTGCTGGAGATGCTCTTACAGAGCACCAGTAAGGGCTCCTGGAGAGTTTATGGGAAGAAGTCTTGGCAAGCACTGTGCTTACCACAACGAAGTTGGCATTTGACTCAGGGGTGTAGAGCACATCTGGAAGACCTGGTAAGGCAAGGTCATCTAAGAGACCTTATAGACGAGGACAGAACAAGGGAAGAACAGGCAAGACTTCCTCTGGTACTAGCAGCATCACCTCCTCCAACACTACAACCGTAGGCAGGCGGACCTCGGGTGATTAATGTGATTCACTCGAAGGTCAATGAGAATGAAATACGTGGGGAGACTCAGAAGGTAAAGCACTTGCAGCATATGTACCAGGTCAGGCAGAAAAGACCTAGGGCAGACGAATGCTAGGGACTAGTGGTGTCCTTTACTGAAGCTAATCTAGAGATGGTGCAGCATCCACACAACGATACCTTGGTAGTATCCCTCCAGGTTGGGGAGTGCCAAGTGAAATGCATCTTAATTGACCAGGGCAGCTCTTGTGACATCATGTATGTAAGATATTACAAGGAGCTTGGCCTTCACCAAGATGACCTGGAGCAGTCCAATGGCCCAATGGTTGGGTTCAATGGAACGCCGACATGGCCCTTGAGAGCAATTAGTTTGGAAGTGCAGGCTGGCACTAGGAGGATAAAAACTGAGTTCACAGTAATTGATACTCCTTCCCCTTATAATGCTATCTTGGGAAGGCTATGGCTGCATGCAATGGGGGCTGTTCCCTCAACATTGCACCAGCTGTTGTGATTCCCAACAGAGCATGGAATTGAAGAGGTCAGAGGAGATCAAGTGCAGGCAAAGAATTGCTCTATGGTAGCAATGAAATCAACCTGCAACATACGAGAAGCAGAACCCACAGAGATTGAAGAAGAAGACATGGAAGTCTTGGAAGACGTTGGCAAAGAGCCAGTCGAGAAGAGTGAGGAAGCCCTGAAGAAAGTCCTTGTCCAGTAAGGGGACGAAGAACGCTTCTTTCTTCTCAGCTCGGGCTTGGCCAAGGAAGAGGAAAAAGAGGTAGAGGCATTCTTGAGAGCAAACATTGAGGTGTTTGCCTGAACGCCGTATGAAATGCCTGGCATTGACCCTGAGGTCATTTGCCATAGAATGAATATGGATAGGTTGGCTAAACCTATCATCTAGCGACCAAGAAGGTCGACGTTAATGCATGTAGAGATAGTATAAGAGGAAGTGGATAAACTTCTGGACGCCAGGGCCATTCAAGAGGTAAATTGCCCTACATGGTTATCAAACACGGTGGTTGTGAAGAAAAAGAATGGGAAATTGAGGGTCTGTGTGGACTTCACCAGCCTAAACAAGGCTTGTCCCAAAGACAGTTTCCCACCACTCAAGATCGACTAATTGGTAGATGTCACTTTAGGGCATGGAAGGATGAGCTTCCTAGATGCATACAGGGGTTACCATCAGATAACTATATACCCCCCAGATAAGGAGAAGATTGCATTTATCACCCCGAAAGGGCTGTATTGCTACAGAGTGATCCCTTTTGGGTTGAAAAATGCAGGAGCAACTTACCAGAGGTTGGTGACTAAGATGTTCAGACATCTAATTGGCAGAACAGTAGAGGTATACATAGATGACATGGTCATGAAGATCAAGGAACCTGAGGATCATTTGGAAGACTTGAAAGCATTTTTTGACATCCTTAGAACATATCGGCTTCGACTCAATGCATCGAAGTGTGCATTTGGAGTTGGGTCTGGTAAGTTGTTGGGGTATCTGGTTACTAGAAGGGGCATTGAGGCCAGCTCGATCAGATCAAGGCCATCTTAGAATCGAAGAGCCCAACATCGACAAAGCAAGTGCATATGTTGACTAGAAGGGCTGTAGCCTTGAATAGATTCATAAGTAGAAGCTCTGACAAGTGTAAACCTTTCTTCAGCTTAGTGAAGAAAGGCGTAGACTTCTTATGGACAAAAGAGTGCGAAGTCGTCTTGGCCGACTTGAAGAAGTATTTGACCACAGCTCCAGTACTCTCAAATCCAGTGCCTGGAGAGGAGCTGTTCTTATACTTGGCAATTTCAGAACATGCAGTAAGTGCAGTAGTGATTAAAGAAGAAAAGGGAGAGCAAATGGTAATTTGCTACATGAGTAAAACCCTAGTAGATGCAGAGACTAGATACTTGTCCTTGGAAAAGTTAACACTTGTTTTAGTAATGGCTTCCAAGAAGCTGAATCATTACTTTCAAGCCCACAAAATTGTGGTGTTAACTGAGCATCCTTTGAAGTCCCTATGCAGCAAGGAGATCTGATAGGCAGAATAGCCAGGTGGGCAGTGGCCTTGGGCCAATATGACTTGGAGTTCAAACCCAGAACAACAATCAAAGGCCAAGTTTTGGCCGACTTCATGTCCGAGTTCACACCAGGTGCTATCATACATCGGGCTCCGTTGAGCCGAGGTATACGATGTCCAGGTGAACAAGGAGAAACCCAGCTGGGGATAGCTGAACAAAGGAAGAAAGAAAAACTCAGGCCCTACAGTATTTACATCGGTGACTCCTTCCGACTGTTTGTTGATGGGAGTTCAAACCGATAATGAGCGGGGGCAAGAGTAGTGCTAGTATCTCCAGATAGGCAGATACTGGAACAATCCATCCGTTTGGGGTTTAAGGCATCAAACAATGAGGTAGAGTATGAAGCACTGATCACAGGACCAAAGCTAGCTGTAGCAATGGAAGCTGACGTGGTAATAGTCTTCTGTGATTCACAGCTTATTGTCAACCAAGCAATGGGCAAATTCACAACCTAAGATGAAAGAATGTCGGCATATGCAAAGGAGGTGGGCAGACTGATAGCCTTATTCCAGAATTGCCAACTACAACTGGTTAGCCGAGATGACAACAACCATGCTGATGCCTTGGCCAACCTGGCTAGTGCAATGAAACCTGGAGAGACAAGGACGATAATGATGGACTACTTGTTGGGCCCAAGTGTAGAACCACTGAACGCAGAGCATGAAGCAATGTGTATGGAGATGGGACCAAGCTGGATAGATACGATAATAGTATTCCTTAGAGAGGGAAAACTACCAGATGATCATAAAGAAGCACACAAGATCAGACTGAAGTCAGCAAGATTCAGTTTGATAGCTGAGGGACATCTCTACAGAAGATCTTTTTTTGGACCCCTTTTGAGGTGTGTGCATCCTTTACAAGTTGAAGACTTCTTGTATGAGATATATGAAGGAGTATGTGGAAGCCACAATAGGGGCAGGTCACTTGCTCATAAGGCCATCACTCAGGGGTACTGGTGGCCCTACATGCAAAGAGATTCTGAAGCCTATATTAAAAAGTGTGAAAAGTGTCAGAGGTTTGCACCTTTGATACATCAACCAGCAGCAGACTTGAACCTAGTGTCCAGCCCTAGGCCATTTTTCTAATGGGGCATTGATCTTGTTGGACAACTGCCTCAAGCAACTAGACAAAGGAAGTACCTGCTAGTGGCAACAGATTACTTCACCAAGTGGGTGGAAGCTGAACCTCTTGCAAAGATTCGAGATGTTGATGTGAAGAGCTTCATATAAAAGAACATTATCATCAGGTTTGGGATCCCAAGGGCAATAGTAGCAGATAATGGTACACAGTTTGATAGTAAGCTAATCAAGAGCTTCTGTGCAAAGTACAAAATCAAGAACTACTATTCCACTCCAAGCTTTCCTCAGAGCAATGGACAAGCAGAAGCATCCAACAAAACCATCTTGGATGGGATTAAGAAGAGGCTGGAAGCGGCTAAGGAAAAGTGGGTGGATGAGCTACCCAGTGTACTTTGGGCATATCGGACCACGCCAAGAAGATCAATTGGGGAATCACCATTTGCCATGGCTTTTGGCACAGAGGCAGTGATCCCATTAGAGGTCGACATCCCAGGGATCAGAACCCAAGGAGTGGAGAATGGGAGTAATGATGCATTCTTAGCCCGAGATCTGGATCTACTAGAAGAAAGAAGGGAGAAAGCAGCAATTCAGCTGGGGGCATACCAGCAGCAGCTTGCTAGATCTTATAATAGGAATGTCAACCCATGAGAGTTCCAACTTGGGGACCTCATCCTGAGAAACGTCGTCGGCAATAAGAAGGATCCCAGAAAGGGCAAGCTTGACCCAAATTGGGAGGGACCCTATAGAATCACTTCGGTCTTGGGCAATGGGGCATATCTGCTTGAGGACAGCGAAGGCAAAGAGTTGCCAAGACCCTAGAACACTTGCAATCTGAAATTTTTCTATCATTAAATTTTCTTGTTTTTTAAAGTTTCTTGTTATTAGCTGAAGTAATAATAAAGTTTTAGCTTGATTTTTTACATTTGTGTAATATGACTGACCAGTCACTTAGACGATGTTTCTTAGTGAAATATGACGAATAACTTAGACTTATTATATGGCAGAGTTGAATTATACTCGCATATAATAGGGTTGAACTAAGTTGACGATGTTTCTTAATGAAACATGACGAATAACTTAGACTTATTATATGGCAGAGTTTCTACTTGCATATAATAGAGTTGAACTAAGTTGGCGATGTTTCTGATTGAAACATGACGAATAACTTAGACTTATTATATGGCAGAGTTTCTACTTGCATGTAATAGAGTTGAACTAAGTTGAATTAATAGGGAGACTGAGGTTGATGACCTCGGCCATCCTCTGTTTGAATCTGATTTCGACAACAAGATTAATGCCACATACATAATGAGAACCCAAGTGGAACTTAGGTTCACATTAGGGGGCAGAGAGCGGGAGAACGATGCTTGGGAGTTGGAATTTACAAGCTAAGATTAGTTTAACTGTTGTTAAAATTTAAAATTTACGAGTTGAAGTTAAACTAAGGTCATGTTTAATACTTGTTGAAATTTGAAATTTACAGGTTGAAGTTAAACCGAGGTCGTGTTTAACACTTGTTGAAATTTTAAGAAAAATTTACAAGTCAAAGTTAAGCCAAGGTTGTATTGAAAGAAGTACTTATGTGCTTGCTGAGATTACCGTGTTGCCAAGACTTGGAAGAAATTTGAAGATAGAAATCTTCTCAAAGAACAGTGGCAGGTTTTATGTAAACACTTGTGAAAATATTCTTTACAATATTTTCAAGTGTTAAGCCGAGGACAGGATAAACCACTAGTAGGTTTAAACCGAGGTACTCCACACTGAGAAGATTACATAGTTAAGGTGTACGTTGAAGACATGTAAATTATTCTAAGTATAGAATCATACAAAAAGAAGACAAACGTACAATCACATTAAAAGAAGAAAGTTATACTTGCATTCAGATAAGGAAGTTAAAATACAAAAAGGCACTTCGGCCTAATATTGGAGATTACTTGTTCAGAATAGACAAAGACACATCGGCCAAATAAAAGCTTACATTGTTTCAAAAGTAAAGAGTACTAAGTACAAAGAAAAAAGACTATAAAACAAAACTACTCGGCGTTGGCAGCGGGCTGTGTCTCGCCCCCAGAAGACAGCTGTGAACTCTTCTCGGCGACCTTCTCAGCCGCGAACTCGGCATCGATCTATTTGAGAGTCTGGTCAAGGCTCTTGTCGGCGATAGACGTGTCCGATGTTGTCCTCTCTGGAGTGGCGTCTTTGGAGACCTCACCCTTCTCATCTTGAGGCAAGTCCACGACTTGCTCATTCAGAGTAGGGGACTTGGCCCCAACAGCCTTTTTCTTCTTCCTGACCAAAGCTTCCTCCTCGGACTCAAAATCGTCTTCGGATTGGCTTGGAGTAGGGGGAATGGCAGTGGGAGGTTGCCAGTATTCTTGAAGGGGGAGTCGTCGGGGACATCCAGTTTTTTGAGGACAACAATCCATCCAAGGGTGAATCCCTTGTTACATGCCTGCTTCACTTATTTTTTGTAGTCCTCTTTGACGTCAGCCGCCCCCTCGGCGTACGCCTTTTCATCGGCAGCCTTCACCTCGGCTGCTTTTGTGGCCAAGGCATCCTAGAGTTTCTTTTGGGCCTCGGCCATCTTTGCCTCGGTCTCTTTCTTTTCGGCCGCAAGGACCTTGGCAATAGCCTTCGCAGCAATAGCCTTCGCAGCATCAGCCTTTTCCTCGGCATGCTCCTGAGCCTTCTTGGCTGCCTCGGCCTGATCTGTCAAGTTCTTCATCTTTGTCTCGGCCTTGTTGATGGTCCTTTGCAAAGCAGCGGCTTCCTTGGTCTTGTCGGCCAACTCCTTATTGATGGCGAAGGCTTGCATCGCAAAGGAGTGGCCATGCTGGATCGCCTAGAAGGAATGGCAAAAACAAGCTAGTAAAATTCTCTAAGTATGAAATAGCAGAAAATGAAAAAGTGCCAAGTGTTAAGGCCTTACTTGTACGGAGCACTGCAACATCAAAGCGAAGTTTTTGTACTTGCTGCATTTGGCGTTGTGGTTGAGATCGCTGGGAAGGAGCAAGGCAGTAGAGAGTGCAACGCCGACTTCAATGTCATCGGCGCTGTCACCAGCCCTGACCGGCTTGTCCTCAATCGTAATTGGGGGAGCCTAGGGGGCATCAGACTTCATAGAGGCCGAGGTTGTTGCCGACTTGGACCTCGGCCTCTTCGATCGAGTTGTTTGGGATGGTTCGGCCTTGGCAGGCCTCTTCTCGGCAGCGGAGGAGGTCTTCTCACTCTCGGCCAATTTTGAAATTGGCAAGGTGTCCTCAGTGTCGATCGAGTCACCGTTGCCTTGGGTTGTGCCTTCTTCATTCTTTTGGGCTTTGGTTTTGGTTGAGACTAGGCTGGAGAAGGTTGTGTGGTGACAGTGTCGGGGATGTCGCCCAGAAGATCGTCTGCAACTGCTTTCTTGTGACCCATCTCGGCAGGAATTACCATTCAGCATTGGCGTTTGTGTTGAGATGGAGGGATCAGTTGTGGAGCCGAGGTCGACCCTTCATCTTCGTCTTCCTCTCCATCATCTTCTTCTTCTTCTTACCCCCCAGCCTTAGCCTCAGATTAGCTTGAAGCGAGAGGGAATGACAGCGCAAGTTGGCCTTCATCTTTAAGAGGAGAGTCATCGGGGACAACCAACTCCTTCAGAACAGCCATCCAACCAAGGGTATAGCCCTTGTTGCATGCATGTCTGACTTGTTTCTTGTAATCTTCTTTGACGTCAGCCGCCCCCTCGGCGTACGCCTTTTCATCGGCAGCCTTCACCTCGGCTGCTTTTGTGGCCAAGGCATCCTAGAGTTTCTTTTGGGCCTCGGCCATCTTTGCCTCGGTCTCTTTCTTTTCGGCCGCAAGGACCTTGGCAATAGCCTTCGCAGCAATAGCCTTCGCAGCATCAGCCTTTTCCTCGGCATGCTCCTGAGCCTTCTTGGCTGCCTCGGCCTGATCTGTCAAGTTCTTCATCTTTGTCTCGGCCTTGTTGATGGTCCTTTGCAAAGCAGCGGCTTCCTTGGTCTTGTCGGCCAACTCCTTATTGATGGCGAAGGCTTGCATCGCAAAGGAGTGGCCATGCTGGATCGCCTAGAAGGAATGGCAAAAACAAGCTAGTAAAATTCTCTAAGTATGAAATAGCAGAAAATGAAAAAGTGCCAAGTGTTAAGGCCTTACTTGTACGGAGCGCTGCAACAACAAAGCGAAGTTTTTGTACTTGCTGCATTTGGCGTTGTGGTTGAGATCGCTGGGAAGGAGCAAGGCGGTAGAAAGTGCAACGCCGACTTCAATGTCGTCGGCGCTGTCACTAGCCCTGACCGGCTTGTCACCAGCCCTGACCGGCTTGTTCTCAATCGTAATTGGGGGAGCTTAGGGGGCATCAGACTTCATAGAGGCCGAGGTTGTTGCCGACTTGGACCCCGGCCTCTTCAATCGAGTTGTTTGGGATGGTTCGGCCTTGGCGGGCCTCTTCTCGGCAACGGAGGAGGTCTTCTCACTCTCGGCCAATTTTGAAATTGGCAAGGTGTCCTCAGTGTCGATCGAGTCACCGTTGCCTTGGGTTGTGCCGTCATCATTCTTTTGGGCTTTGGTTTTGGTTGAGACTAGGCTGGAGAAGGTTGTGTGGTGACAGTGTCGGGGATGTCGCCCAGAAGATCGTCTGCAACTGCTTTCTTGTGACCCATCTCGGCAGGAATTACCATTCAGCATTGGCGTTTGTGTTGAGATGGAGGGATCAGTTGTGGAGCCGAGGTCGACAGTTGCTCTACTGGATCAGATGTTGATCCCTGATTTGGCCGAGATGATAAAGTTGTTGGAGGAGTTATGGCGGACGGGAGAGACTTTCTTTTCTTCTTCTTCGGGGTGCCGGAGAGCACCGACTTGTAAGTCAGGATGAAGTTGAGCAGCAAAGGAGCTCTCCGCCGCTGAACTGGCAAATCCAACAGCTTTTTGAGGTCTTTGCTGGGAAAGAAGGACTTGCAAAAGTCCTTGGGTGCCTGAGGAAGAACTGCAAGAAAAAAAACGGACGTTAGAATCAATAAAAGGTGCAAAGAATTAAAGGCTTGAAAGCAAGTAAAATAACGCTTGGTTCTTACCATTACCTTCTATGAATACTGTTTGGCTAAGAGGGTAGAGGTGAAGGTCCTCATCTGGAGCGAACTCCTAGTTGCCCGAGATAATGAAGTAATCGTCCCCGGCTCCCTTGTTGGAATCTGGGAGGTGGGCAACAAGTTTATATTCAGCGGACCTCGATTTGAGGTAGTAGATGTTGCCTTTTTCTAACTTGAGGCCACACATGGTGTAGCAATATTGAATGTCGGCTAAGGTTACCCTAGCCTTTTCTCGGCTAGCTAAGGCGATGATACCATTGATAACTCAATAGGAGTTGATAGCTAGTTGCATCAAGTTGAACTTATAATAATGGAGGACTTCTCAGAAAGGGATGTTAAGTGGAAACCTAAGTCCACATTCTATGAAAGCTACAACAGGGAAAGGCATGGATTTCCCATCAGACATAATAGAGTCGTCTTCCCCAGCCAACCTAAGGTGAACATCAACCGGGATAGAAAACTCTTGCCTGAAGTATTCTAACTTAGTTGGGGTGCCTACCCTATGCTTTCACATACCCATGATGTCGGCTTGGGGGGAAGGTGTTGGATTTTAGAAGGGTGTGCTTTGTAAAGGTTTGAGGGACCTCGGCAAAGCCTAGAAGAATGCTGGGGCAAGAAATTTTGAGGATCTAAGTGAAGTATGTTTTAGTTTTTCCTAAAAATTCGTGGGTTCTACAAACAAATCTCAAACCTAGATCTATGGAAACGAAGATTGAAGGCAAGAATTTAGAGAAAACACAGAAAACAGAAACAAGAATGAAGATTCAGAATCAAGAATAGTGATGTACTGCCAAGAACAGTGGCAAAAATTAAACAAATGGGTGAACAGTGTGGGTATATTCAAGAAACGGATTGGGCAAAAACAAAGTCATAAGATAAACATGCTTAGATACATGATTAAATTTATACGCAAGATTTATAATCAAGAACGTGAACAAAGTGGCAATGGTAACAAGTAATACGGTGAAGTTCTTTAAAAGAAAAGCACAGACTAATAAAGAAGGAGATAGTGACTCACCGAAGAAAAATAAAGTCGGTGTTGAGAACGCCAAAGTCAGATGATGGCAGCAGTCGGAAAAGATCAGCAAAAGCTTTGCCGGAGGGGAAGACTGGAAGTAGTTGTAGAGCTTGAAGGGCCTGGAATAATGGCGAATTTGGGAGAGGAAAGAGAGAGAGTTTGCACGGGAATGAAGATGCAAAAGTGAAGCGACGAAGAGAGAGGGAAAAAGTTTTGTCAAAACACGAAACAACGGCAAAAAGCCAATTAATGTGCCTAAGATGACATGTGTGTCAGACGACACACGCAAAAACGATGCGACTTAGTGGCGCGTGTCAGGTACGGCCCAGAAGGGGAAAGATGCGTGGCAAGAACAGTTGAGTTGTTGTGCGTGACAGCTCATACGCGTGAAGAAGATCTTGGAGTTCTTGATTTAATGAAGCAGTACCTCGGCTTGGAGGATGATCTTGGTTGAGAAACTTGAACAAAACCTGGTTAATGGTTTTGAGGCATTGATGAAAATAGACTAAATCTTGGTCGTATTTAAACAGACGAATTATGACCTCGGTAATGGATGATAGAGCAAGTTAGCCGACATGCTATACGGTATGACGATATAGGTTCCATCACCTCTGGATGCTGAGGTAATAGAACCTAGGGGCAGTTGTGGGGACATAATTTTTGGATGACAACATGTGGCCGAGGTGACGCCGGAGTGTCAGCCGAGGTGCCACGTGTCCTGGTCATGACACCGAGGTTATCTCGTCTAGGCCGAGGTTATCTCCAAAAATACCAGAATCCGGGATAAGCGGATAAGGGACAAGAGTCTTAGAATGAGAGAGGACTTTAGTTTGGGTAAAGATAAAGCTCTTAAAGAGTTTATTCCAATCCTATTGGGAGTCCAAGATTAACAGTAATCCTAAGTCCATTAAAGCTAGGCTTCTATTGGGATTAGGTAAGTGATGGCTATAAAAGGGAGATACCCTCATGGGTCTAAGGTATGTTTTTATGATCTGAAGAGTGAATTAAGAACTTTTGCTATCTTTAAGAGATAACTAACTTGATCGTCGGAGTGCCCCCGGATGGACGAACCACTGCCGGAATCTCTTCTTTCTGTTGCAGGTTGTTCGGGCTTAATCTGTTCTGCCAGTGTTCTCCAGCTGAGTACCAGACTAGTAGTGTGGTCAGAAATTAACACACATAGAAAGAATGAAGATGAGGAGTTTCATGGGTTTACTGAGAGTGAGAGATAGAGAGAGAGAGAGACAGAGAGAGAGAGAGAGAGATGGGGGTAAACAACAGTCGTTACATAGAGAGTTAGTATTGGGAAGAGAGAGAGAGTGAGAGTTTATTGGGAAGAATAAGACAAATTAGTAGAGAGACAGAGAGAGTTTGTATTGAAGATGAGCGTGTGACAGATTGGTAGAGAGAGAGAGAGAGAGAGAGAGAGAGAGAGTCTGTGTTGCAAATATAAATATAACATTCATTAATGGGAAAGAGAGAGAATTGAGAAGTTAAAGATAGAAATTAAAAAGACAAGTCTTTGGTTTTGATGTACTATTAATAAGGTGTAGTTACGAGTACAACAAAAACAAGCCACCTGTAAATTAAATATTATTAATTAACGATATATATCGGTTGGTTCGGATATATATGGATTTTCAGTACCTAAACTGTCAGCCGACTGCCAATTTGTGAAAATACAAGTTTTACAACCATGTCTGACTGTTATAATTTTCGAAATCGACTGTACACATTTGGGTCGGCTCGCATCAGTCGAGTTGAACGAGTTAGTCAGATTCGTGCACACCCCTAGTTAAAATAACAAATAAAACCCTAAATCAAAAAATGAAACAAAAAGCAAGCCCCAAGGATATGATATAGGTACCCTTCTGTAAAAAGTAAACTGCTTTCTTAGTATGGATGTCATGATTTTTTAGTTTATTCAAAATACCTCAAGTAACCGATCAAATTCATATTCATATTTAAATTAAAATTTAAATTTTTAAAATTTAATGACACACCTATTAGGTGAGCACACCTGGCTAGTGTACATATATATATATATCAACAATGATTCATCCCACTAAAAACATCACTACTAATAGCACTAATGTATTAAAAAAGTAAAAAAAAAAAAAAATACAACTCCAAGACCAAAACATCACATCATTAATGACGGGACCCACTGCCACCTAATTAGTGGGAGCACTAATTAGTGCTTCCAAGCATTTTTCTATATATATACATATATATAAAGGTAAATTACACCTACACCCTTTAAGGTTTGACTTTAATATAGATACTTCCTTGACGTTCTAGAAATTGTAATGACTTCCTGTCAGAGTTTTTTCATTAATCTCTTAACAAAAAAACAATAAGCCCTTTGATGTCATTTTCTTGACATAGACTAAGTATAGAAGACATGTTTATTTAGACAGACTGGATAATGAGAGATTATAATCCACAGGACTGTTAGTCTTAGGATATATTGTCCCCGGACTATTTGGTTGGATTGAATTTATATCCTATATTTATTTAGTCATGGGATATATGTCTGAATTGAACTATTCTATTGAATTCTATGTTTATTTGAAATATTACGGAGAATGATAAATGCTCAAAAGACTATCTTGCCCTTTTGAATTATAAATTTTATTTATTTTACTAGAACTTTTAAAAAATTAAATAAATAAAATATTAATAAAAATTACGTAAAAATATTTTCATTTGTAGTTGAGATTTTTAAGTTTTATTTTACTTTACTACGTATAATTAATACCATATTATTAAAATAAATAATTTAATAAAGTATAAATAATTTATTAAGTATAATAGTATAAATAATTTAATAAATAAATTTTATTTCAAAAAAGATATTAAATAGTAGAGGGTCAAAAATGTAATTTCACTACCTAATCCTATGAGATGAGTTATCCTATTGATTATGTCCCACCCCCATGGGATAGAATAAACCCATAAATTTGAGATTCATAATTCGGTATAAATTTTTTAATCAAATAACGAACTATTAATCATATCTCATACTTAAATCCTTCCAAACAAACACCATCAGAGTTTCTTTTCCATTCCATCATCCCTTCATAACTCACCATTGTCCGCTCACCACCAACTATTTTAATTGACACTTTATAAAGCATTTCATCAAACATAAGAGAGACAAAAAAAAAAAAAAAAAAAAAAAAACCCCAACATACATATATGTTAAGGGACCTTAGACATCAAAAAATAATTTTGTGGATGTCTTCCATTACGAAAAGTGGGAGAGGGACCTTAGACCGATTTTCCCACTAAAAATTCAAGCAAAATAAAGTTTAAAAAAACATAAGCATTCATAACAACAAATCATATAGAAATAAATGCTGTGTAAATATTGTTTATTTTAAAAAAGATGCATAAATTATCGGCATCATTGCTGCAATTTATCAAATAAATTAATTAATAATATCAGCAAATAGCGTTAGCTAACCATGGGTAGTTAAAAGACGGGACAAAGACAAATTATAATGAGATTAAAAAATGTAATTTTATGGGTGTAATTGTAATTTATCCTCTATATAAGGAAATGAAGAACAGAGCTTAGGGTTTTACATACACTTGGTTGTTCCATATCGTTACAGCAGCGGCGACCCACACTGAGACGAAGCACCTGTCTTCTCTTCAACTCTTCCTTCACAGCTGTCGCTGATTCCTTCACCTCAGGTTCTTCTTTTTTCTTAAGCTTTTTTTGTTCTTCTATAAATTTGCATTTTTATTTGATTTGTTCATTAGCATGTGATTTGATTGTTTTTTTAAGATAAGAAACTCCTTATTTGTTATCTGTTGTGTGATTGTTGTGGTTACTGTTATATTTGTTGTGTACTGATTTGAAGTTGTGGTTATTGTTGTAGGGGGATGTGTTATGGTTTGTTTTTGGATTGTGCTTTCTATTTTAATTTTTGTAGTTTTAATTCAATTGAATCTGCGTATCAATATGAATTTGTGTGACTTATGTTGAATCTGTTTTACAAAAATCAAAATCAGAATCAGGGCGGCGATTGGCAGGGTGAGGAAACCCAATTCCTGTTAGGTGGCGGTGGTACAACAAAAAATATACCCGTTTGGACCATTGCAATAGAAAATTGGGCAGAGAATTTAATAACTGCCCCAATCCCGACCCTAACCCCAACTCGTTCCCATTCCTAACAATTGACAAGAATGGAAACTGACGGTTCATTATTATAAATCCACATCAAACCTTTGTGCATTCTGTCTATTTGGTGCTGTGCAGTTTAATCGGTTTAGTCATTTTGAAATTGGATCTGTTTTTAATGAACAGCCAATCAACGCATCATGCAGAACATAAAGCTATGGTTAGTACTGAGGTTCCCTGTTTCAAATATTTGATCTGTGATTGGACTAATAGTGATGCTACGAATATATTTTGATCCTCTCATTTAGACAAAGAAAGTAAAACCCTCGCATTTGTCAACTTTCTCGTTTTGTAATCTTCTTGTGTTGCAATATTGGCTTTTGGGTTTGTATAAAATGGTTTACGTCTGTCAAGGGTTCCATGGAAAATTAAGACACTGGTGAATTCGTGTGCTTTAAGGTGGTTCGAAGGTTGCAAAGCTTAGATAGTTTCGTGAATCCCCCCATCCCTCTGTACTTGAACAGTTCTTTCATTTCAGTAAAATTGGCGTAACTCTATGCTTCTCTTATTTTTAGTTAACAATCTCGTAATATCTATTAAGAATGAAAATCATGAAGAGGCTTCTTGTCTTGAGATTTTTTTTATACTTGTAATTTCTTGTGTTGGAGTTGTTTATGTTTGTGATAATGCATGTGTTTCGGGAAGAAAGCATGTGTCTTTTTCTGAGTATCTGTTTTTCTGGTTCAGAATGGAGTCTCAGATCAAGCATGCCATAGTGGTGAAAGTTATGGGTCGCACAGGATCAAGGGGGCAAGTGACCCAGGTTAGAGTGAAATTTATTGATGATCAGAACCGGTTTATCATGAGGAATGTCAAGGGCCCAGTGAGGGAAGGGGACGTGCTCACCCTGCTCGAGTCTGAGAGGGAGGCAAGAAGGTTGCGTTGATCCCTTTCATTGGCTCTAGCCCTGCAGGTTTTGATTGCTTGCTATATAACCGTACTTTATGCATTGATAGTACTTTGGTATCTGAGGATGGGGATTGATGAAGTGAAGTGCTAGTTTTGTTTACTGTTTGAGAATGACAATTAGTATGTTTGAGTTTTGTTAAAAGCTTGTATCATTTATGCTTGAGCTGGAGTAAAATGTTTTAGGTGGTATTATTAAGCCAGTGTGAAATCTCTTCATTTTATATTTTTTGGGCACAATGTTTGGTTTTGTGGGTATAATTGACTGTGCGAGTTGTATCGCTAGTTTACTATCATCATGCACAATTCACTGAAAGAAATGGCCTACAGGGTAGTTTATAAAACAAAACGTATGAGAGTTAAGGAAGCTGCTCTTCTGCGTTGAGTGCCTGGTTTATGTGACCTACTTGTCACAAAACCAAATTGGTGATTGCACATGGCCTATTTTGCCATATTTGAGTGAAATGGTTAATGTTAAATTTTTGGGATAGCAAATTCAAAAAAGAAAAACTCATAACAAATTGTCAGTAAGTGGTGAGATTAACCCAAAATGAACTGTTTGGGATCCTCTCCATTATATTGATAAAATGTAGATGGAGATGAACCCCTTTAGGAGGATTTTAAATTGATTGATTTTGGATTCTGATACTGCATTGAAACATTATGAATTGTAATAGGGATTTTCATTTAAATTGGTGTTTTAGAAAAGCCATGTGATATTTCTCTAATACTTCCTCTTACATGATAGAGAGATGATGTGATATTTCTCCAATACTTCCTCATAAACGAGATGAGAGAAATAGCTCACGCAAAAACTTAAAAGGATTATCAAAGATCAAACTCTGATACATGTTAAAAAAACATTTGAGACTTCAATGTTGAGGTCCGAAATGAAAGTGTGGGTTGTTCTCGTTGAGTGATTGATAATAATTATTATAATAATGTTCAATATTGACTAATTGAACCAATCAAAAATTGTAAAAGATTATTCATTGTCTTAATTTAAACATTTTACTTTTCATAATCAATATAGTTATTTGAATATTAATCATGATGTCATAGGCACATAGAATTTCCATCAGTAATTCAATTAAAAAATTATCGATATTGACATAAGAGACCAAATTAAATTTTTTTGTTTTTTTAAAAAGAATGGTCTCTTCCCTCCACTTGTGCATCCAAAAAAAAAAAACCTTCAAACAACACCAAAATTTAACATTAAAAAAATCAATTAAAAAAAAACACGTATATCAAATCACAATTTTTAGAACGGTTGTTTGTTCTTGGAACAATATTTTATCAGTTAATACGGTGTCATTTTATAGTACGGGACAAAATATAGGTAAAATATAAATATACGTGAGATATAATTATATTTTATTTACATATCATTTATTTTGTTCCTTTCAAATTTCTATTTAAATATATAATTCAAATACAGCTTTAAGGATAACAACAAACCTACCCTACAATCTCAATAAGCATGACAACAATTGTCGGGAGTGGTGATGCTATTGTCCCTAAGGTTAAGTTTGGTTAGGATGAAAATAGTAAAAAGTGAGGGAAATGGGACAAAAAATAAATATTTTATGAGTTTGTTTTTGCATGAAAGTGGTGAAAATTGCAAGAAAATTAAGTTTTTTTGTACATCACTATAGCGTGATAATCAAGCTTATATATATTTTTTTTGCAAAAAATCTTAGAAAAATATAAGAAAATTTAAATTTGTTGTAAAAATAATTAATTATAATTGGAATTTTTATTTTCTGATAAAATTTTCATCCTAATCAAATTCATATAGGAAAATATATTTATTTTCCTTATCTTTTAATTTACTTCACTTACTACTATCTTCACTTTCATCATTTATTTATTTCTAATTAAATAGGGCTTAAAATCACCCAAGATGATTTAATCATTAAACCACTTAGCTTATCATTTAAGTCCTCTAAATTTGAAGAGAGAAAAAAATCTTACTGTTGAAGGCCCCAAATTTTTAAAAACCCAACAAGATCAGGCCCCCAGGCCACACAAAATCTTAGGCTGCTGCTGAAAATCGCTGCAGCACTACGGGAGCAAAATAACCAACAAAGCTACAATACTGAAAAAGCAAAATGTGTTTTGTGTGACAATTATAGGAAATTTATACAATAATAATGTACACAATGCCATGTGTGGTCCTCTTTTTTTTGCTTCCAATAGCCAACGTAAAGCCGGTAGGTGGTTAGGAATGTTGAAAAACTAAAACTGAGTTTGCTGCAGAATGAGTAAAAGGAATGCCATACCGATTCATTGATATGAAGTCTAATTAAATACAGATGCAAATAACTGAAAGGTAGAAAATAAAGCAATGTCTAATCCCATGACTAACAACTCCTAATAATCTGGGATTCTCTTAAGGAATAGGTAAAAGTAACAGAGTTCCTAATAAATAGGAATTATTGAATACAAACGACTAAATATCTTAACACCCTCCCTTAAACTGAATGTCATCTACACAATCAGTTTAAAAAGGAACTTGAACAAACTCCAAGTAACTCACACAACTTCTCAAATGCTTCCAGCTTTAGAGGTTTGGTCAGGATATCTGCAACTTGGTCTTCACTTCGACAATAAACCAAATCAATGGTTTTTTCAGTTACAAGATCACGAAGAAATTGAAACCTCACATCTATATGTTTGTTTCTTCCATGTAAAACTGGATTCCTGGAGAGTTTGATAGTTGAACTATTATCACAATGAATCACAGTAGGCCCATGTTGATAAAACTTTAACTCTTCAAGAATCCTTCTCAACCACATTGCTTGACATGCAAAAGTTGCTGCAGCTATGAATTCTGCTTCTGTTGTGGACAAGGTAACAACCAGTTGCTTCTTTGATGCCCATGATATGGCACCTGAACCCATCATAAACACATGGCCTGATGTACTCCGCCTATCATCCAAATCACCAGCATAATCGCTGTCAGTGAAACTAGTCAAAATAGGTCCTCCATTTTTCTTGTAGAAAATACCGAAATCTATCGTTCCTTTAAGTAACGAAACACTCTTTTAGCAGCTTTGAGATGCAGGACTTTGGTTGTTGCCTTCTATTCCTGGCTATTAGACACATCTGCATACATAATATCAGGCTGAGTGGCTGCTAAGTGCATTAAACTTCTAACAATTTGTTTGAAGTAGGTATTATCAACCCTTTCTCCATCAAGATCAATTGAGAGCATCAATCCCAGTTCAGTTGGAGTCCCAACTAGATTACAATTCTTCATATGAAACCTCTCCAAAACCTCCTCAGCATATTTCTTTTGCCCAATAAAACATCCAGTAGCTGTTTGTAGTACTTCTATACCAAGAAAATATTTCATCTTTCCCAAATTAGTCATGTCAAAATCAACCATCATAGAATTCTTAAAATCAACAAACATAGCCTTATCATTGCCTGTGAAAATAAGATCATCAACATATAAGCAAACTATCAGGATTTTACCTTCTTCTCCAGACTTGATGAATAGAGTGTGCTCATATGGACATTTGTTGAAACTTGCCTTTTCAAAGTGCCTTTCTATACAACTGTACCAGGCTCGAGATGCCTGTTTTAGTCCATATAAAGCTTTTTTCAGTCTGTAAACCTTATGTTCATTACCTTTTATCACATAACTGTAGACACGCCCGTGGGCCTCATGCTACTGTTCGAACTCAATTTGTGTCACGGTTCTTAATCTGAACCAAAGAGTCCAAATCCGGCAAATCATTTTGAGAAACATATTTTTTGAAAAGAAGTGCCAAACATGGACTGCTTTGCCAGATACAGAGTCGCCACCTAAATATTTTAAAATAGGAGAATTTAGGAAACCCTGACTCGGTGCCGAAGGCCACATGCCCGTCATCACCGGAGTTGTCCTCCTGCTCGGGAGCTTAGGGTAACGATTGGCGGAAGGTCAACAACTATGAGCACCTCCCCCTCCCCGATCCGAAGATCGGCCTCTTAAACCGTGATATCCGTTTTTGAAAACTTTATGTGTTCTTAAACCTGTTGTTAGCCTAGAATTACTATGTTATGCGCATAGCAAACAAGTATAGACTAGATTGCCTAATTTGGAAACAAGCATTGCATATCCGTTTGTCTTTCAAAAATACTTTAGAATTTGCTACTCGCAAGTAGGCTAAAATACGGATTTCAACGAGTTTTTCCAACTCGGACAATCCAACCTTCACCCACGGGAATTCAAACAGTTTATCACATAAGCATTTAGCCGCACGGCAAGCATACTGTCATGTTAACATTCACACGCATGCGAGATGCTAAAGCAGGAAAATGCTTACATAGTACTCCGTGCCAAAACAATAGACTAGTTAGCAAACATGCATGGTCCTAGTTCATGTTAAATTGACTAATGCAACACATACAAGATGTACTTAGAATAGGCTCGGCTAACCTAAGCATGGCATGTGAAATGCGCTATCCTAAACATGGCATGTGAAATGCTGCAACTAACAAATACTCAACTTGGAATTGAAATACTAGTGCAGTTAGCATGATGTACCAAGCCTGGTGCATGCAAGACAAATGTATGAATGCACGCATGCATAGCACAAGGTATGCTAATTTAAATATGCCCTAGTCTACCATCATAAGCAGGTAAATAAAGCCTAATGCATGCGATACAAATGCATGGATGCACGCATGCATAGCATAAGGCATGCTAAATTAAACGTGCCCTAATACTAACCAACAAACCAGGTAAGTAAAAGGGGAGAAAGAAGTGGGGATTGGAAGACATACACATCACTCACACACGCTTATTACAGATTTGCCCTTGCTCGGAGGGACCAAATAAATATTACAAATTAATAAACTACGCGAGCTAATTAAATATTACAAATTGCCTAATCAACTAAGCAAAATAACTTAAGCTAAGAAAAACAGGAAAATCGCCTCGGGAAGCATGTCGCCATGCATGAGCTGCCTCTGTTTTCCTTCCTTCACTTCTCTGGAGGCTACCAAAACCTCAGGACTGCATCCCTGGACACTGGGGAGTGCCACCGGCTGAGTGGAATTACCACCGGCAGTGGTATGTGGCCATCGGCACAAAATGAAGCTGTCGGCAGAGAAATTATTGCCGGCCGGCACTTTACACTGCCGGCCGGCAGAGTGTTCCTGCAGAATCTGCAAATGACAGCAACAGAGGGCAAGGCAAAGCATGGCAGCACAATTCAAGGCATATATGCACCAACCATGTCCCT